GTCACGCCTACGCCTGTAGCGGATAGCGCAATGATGTTCGTCGCACCGAACCCGATGTCGGATTTCGACGCGCCGCCCGTGATCCGCACGCTCTCCACCTCCACGAACCCGTTGTCGCTCGAGATCGTCAGCCCGCTCGTCGCGCCCGCCGCGGCGGTGTGCGTGATCGCGGAAGCGGTCTTCGACATTGCGATGTCGCCCGAGGTTGACAAGTCACCGTTAAGCGTCGCGCTTGCCAACGTTGCTGCACCTGATGACAGCGCCCCGGTTACGCTCGCGCTCGCGAGCGTCGATGCACCCGCGGTCAGCGTCCCGCTGATAACCGTGTTCCCGGTCGCGCCGGCGACCGTCAGCACCGTCGCCGATCCGTCGGACTTCTTTACCGTGACGTCACCCTTCATGACTGTCGTGCCCGTGATGGTCGTCGCGCCCGTGATGCCAGTCGCGCCTGTGATGGTCGTCGCGCCCGCGGAAAGCGCTCCGGTCACTGAAGCGCTCGCGAGCGTCGCCAGCCCGCTCGATGTCAGCGTCCCAGTCACTCCCACGCCCGCCGAGGCGAGAGTTATTAGACTCGTGTCGCCGGCGATGCCGATAGTTTTGCTCGTGAACCGCACGTCCTCCACGTCCACGTACAACGCCGTGCTTTTCACAACAACAAACCCGTTGTCGCTCGAGATCGTCAGCCCGCTCGTCGCGCCCGTCGCGGCGGTGTGCGTGATCGCGGAAGCGGTCTTCGACATCGCGATGTCGCCCGAGGATGACAAGTCACCGTTAAGCGTCGCGCTCGCGAGAGTCGTCGCGCCGGATGACAGTGTTCCACTCACCACCGCACTCGCGAGCGTCGATGCACCCGCACCGAGCGTCCCGCTGATAACCGTGTTCCCGGTCGCGTCGTCCACGGTGAACATCGAAGTTCCGTCGGACTTCTTCACAGCTAGATCACCCTTGATGGAGGTCGCCCCCGTGATGGTCGTCGCGCCCGTGATGCCAGTCGCGCCTGTGATGGTCGTCGTCCCCGTGATGCCAGTCGCGCCCGTGATGGTCGTCGCGCCCGCGGAAAGCGCCCCGGTCACTGTAGCGCTCGCGAGCGTCGCCAGTCCGCTCGATGTCAGCGTCCCAGTCACGCCTACGCCTGTAGCGGATAGCGCGATGATGGCCGTCGCTCCGTACCCGATGTCGGATTTCGTCGCGCCGCCCGTGATCCGCACGCTCTCCACCTCCACGAACCCGTTGTCGCTCGAGATCGTCAGCCCGCTCGTCGCGCCCGCCGCGGCTGTGTGCGTGATCGCGGAAGCGGTCTTCGACATTGCGATGTCGCCGGAAGTCGTCAAGTCACCGTTAAGCGTCGCACTCGCGAGAGTTGCTGCGCCGGATGACAGCGCCCCGGTTACGCTCGCGCTTGCGAGCGTCGCCAGTCCGGTCGTCTGCAGCGTCCCGGTCACGTGCACGCCCGTCGTCGCAAGTGTAATGACGTCTGTCAAGCCGACGCCCATTTTCAATGCCGTGAAGCGAATGTCTTCCACTTCCACGTACGCGGCAGCTTGCGTGCTCGTGATCTTCAATCCAGTGGTGCCCGTGTGCGTCAGAAGTGTGGTGGCCTTGTTTAAAATCACGTCGTCTTCCAAAGTCGTGACCCCGCTGGCTTTGAGCGTCCCCGCGACTTCTGTATTTCCAGACCCTGCCAAAACCTTAAACTTCGTCGAAGCCACCGTGAAGTCCCCTCCGACGGCGACAGTGCTCGACAACGTCGTTGCCCCCGTCGCAGTTAACGTAGTGTGGAATGTTCCTGCCCCGTACACGTCTAGCGTTTGCGTCATGTTCGCAGTGGTGTTGTACGTCGTGGCGGCATTCACTGTGAGCGTATCGCTCGGAGAAAAATCACCGATGCGATAATCACCGAGCGCAACAAAAAGTCCCTTCACAGTCACGGCGCCCTCGAACGTTGCGGCGCCGTTGACCGTTAAAGCACCTTGAAGGGTTGTCGCCCCGCCAACATTAAGGGTTCCCGCTGTGTCGGTGTTACCGCTTCCCGAGAGCACCTTGAATTTCGTCGTCGCAACAGAAAAGTCCCCGCCAACCCCGAGCGCGCTCGTTATCGCCGTCGCCCCAATCACCCCGAGGGTCCCCGAGATGGTCGTGTCGCCGGCACTCGTCACGATGAAGTTTCGAGTCGAGGACGAACCCACGTCGAGCTGACCAGTGACCCCTGCGCCCGTGGCAGACAGCGCGATGATAGCCGTCGCACCGAACCCGATGTCGGATTTCGACGCGCCGCCCGTGATCCGCACGCTCTCCACCTCCACGAAGCCGTTGTCGCTCGAGATCGTCAGCCCGCTCGTCGCGCCCGCCGCGGCGGTGTGCGTGATCGCGGCTGCGGTCTTCGACAAGGACGTGTCCCCCGTTTGAAGCAAGTTCCCGTTACTCGCGGTCACTACGAACTTCGACGACCCAACAGTCAAGTCACCCGTCGACGACACCGTCCCGGTCACGCCCACGCCCGTCGCGGACAGCGCGATGATAGCCGTCGAACCGAACCCGATGTCGGATTTCGACGCGCCGCCCGTGATCCGCACGCTCTCCACCTCCACGAACCCGTTGTCGCTCGAGATCGTCAGCCCGCTCGTCGCGCCCGCCGCAGCGGTGTGCGTGAGCTCAGCGACAGTGTCAGACATGAACAAGTCCCCGGAAAGCCCCAAAGCAGTAAGGTTGGATTTCGCACCAGTCACCGCTAAGTCATCTGCAAGCGTCGCCTTCCCGGACGATTGCAGCGTCCCGGTCACGCTCACGCCCGTTGACGCGAGCGATATCAAGGTCGCGGTCCCGGAGATGCCGATGTCTTTGCTCGTGAACCGCACGTCCTCCACGTCCACGTACGAAGCTGTGCTGGTCCCACCCGTGATGACCACAAAACCGTTGTCGCTCGAGATCGTCAGCCCGCTCGTCGCGCCCGCCGCGGCAGTGTGCGTCATCGTCGCCGCTGTTTTGGATAAGTCAATATCCCCGGACAACGACAGATCCGTCATAGTGAGTGCGCCGTTAACTGCAAGAGATCCGGTGACGCTCACGCCCGTCGATGCGAGCGAAATTAAATTCGTGGTGCCCGCGATGCCAAT